CGCGCCCACACTGCAGGGGGACACAGCTGCACGCCCACACTGCAGGGGGACACAGCTGCACGCCCACACTGCAGGGGGACACAGCTGCACGCCCACACTGCCCGTACCTTGTCAAGCACAAGATGAAGCTGGAAAAAGTCCAAAGATATGCCACTAGACTAGTCCCAGAACTAAGAGGCATGAGTTACGAGGAAAGGCTGCGGGAAATGCACCTTACGACACTGGAAGACAGAAGAGTAAGGGGAGACATGATCACAACCTACAAAATCCTCAGAGGAATCGACCGGGTAAACAAAGATAAACTATTCAACACTGGTGGGACGCGAACAAGGGGACACAGGTGGAAACTGAGTACTCACATGAGCCACAGAGACGTTAGAAGGAACTTTTTTAGTGTCAGAGTAGTTAACGGATGGAATGCATTAGGCAGTGATGTGGTGGAGGCTGACTCCATACACAGTTTTAAATGTAGATATGATAGAGCCCAGTAGGCTCAGGAATCTGTACACCAGTTGATTGACAGTTGAGAGGCGGGACCAAAGAGCCAAAGCTCAACCCCCGCAAGCACAAATAGGTGAGTACAAATAGGTGAGTACACTGCAGGGTGACACAGCTGCACGCCCACACTGCAGTGGGACACAGCTGCACGCCCACACTGCAGGGGGGCACAGCTGCACGCCCACACTGCAGGGGGACACAGCTGCACGCCCACACTGCAGGGGGCACAGCTGCACGCCCACACTGCAGGGGGACACAGCTGCACGCCCACACTGCAGGGGGCACAGCTGCACGCCCACACTGCAGGGGGACACAGCTGCACGCCCACACTGCAGGGGGCACAACTGCACGTCCACACTGCAGGGGGGCACAGCTGCACGCCCATACTGCAGGGGGCACAGCTGCACGCCCACACTGCAGGGGGACACAGCTGCACGCCCACACTGCAGGGGGACACAGCTGCACGCCCACACTGCAGGGGGACACAGCTGCACGCCCACACTGCAGGGGGCACAGCTGCACGCCCACACTGCAGGGGGGCACAGCTGCACGCCCACACTGCAGGGGGACACAGCTGCACGCCCACACTGCAGGGGGACACAGCTGCACGCCCACACGGCAGGGGGACACAGCTGCACGCCCACACTGCAGGGGGGCACAGCTGCACGCCCACACTGCAGGGGGGCACAGCTGCACGCCCACACTGCAGGGGGGCACAGCTGCACGTCCACACTGCAGGGGGGCACAGCTGCACGTCCACACTGCAGGGGGACACAGCTGCACGCCCACACTGCAGGGGGACACAGCTGCATGAGGTGTGCCACAGCACAGCAGGCCGATGTGCAGGCGACTGGCTGGCGGCCCCACTGAGTTACTGCGACGGGCGCCCAAGAGACGTAGTGTTACGGAGGTGGTGACCCGTGTTACGGGGGTGGGGGGGTTAACCCAATGTTACGAGGTGGGGGGGTTAACCCCATGTTACTGTGGGGGGGAGGAGGGTTTACCCGTGTTACTGGGGGGGATGGGTGTGACCCGCGGTATCGGAGAGGAAGAAGGGGTGACACAAATTACAGAAAAGAACAAGTAATACCAATACTTGCCTGATATCAATTGAGCCCACGACGCACCACCTTGCCCGTTGACCTCCATCCTCCCACTGAGCGGCACTGCAGGTGTTGGTGACCCACGCCGCCTCCTCCTCCACCACCAAGGTCACCAACACAGCCCTTCCTCTCCCATTTCTCTTATCCCTACACATAATTTTAGGTTTGTTTCAAGTTAGAAATTGTTTGTTTGAATTGTTTCAAGCATGGGTTGGATTGTGTCAAGCGTGGGTTGGACATGTATATGAGTGGGATTGGGTGAATTATAAATAGGAGCTGCCTCGTATGGGCCATTAGGCCTTCTGCAGTTACCTTTGTTCTTATGTTGTTATAATACCCACTCTACAGGGCAGGTAAGTATTGCATATACATAGGTTTATCATAGTTAACACAAGGGCTTAACAGTCTATTAATTCCTCAATCTAGGGGTAACAATTTAACCGTGTATTTAGTTTATAAAAGGGAGCGGTGGGGACAAGGCCCCCAAATTAGGTCAGTGCAGATTGTTCAGCACTGGCGTATTACCCATGAACTAATTGTGTGTTGATCGATGCCAGTAGCCTTGTTTAAGAGTGCTGTAAATTTATATAATTTACATATACAAGCCGAACTGTAAGCTTAGACCGTGTCTATCTGCAGGAGATTTGTGAGTGGAAGGCCTTGTGGTCGCTGGAGCTACTTACGCTCATATACCTACTTCAACTCAAGTAAAGTTACCTGTCTTAAAAACAAATCCCCAGCGTGTTTACGTTTTCTCATGCCGGTTGTTTCTTAACTGGCGCTGCCAGGGAACCAGAGGTCAAATTGGATTATTTTATATTCGTGCAGGAATCAGTCACTCAAGTATTTTGATAGTGATAGGTTCTGACTGAGTAATTTTTTTAACAAATCACCATAAGAAATACTTAGTAATATATACCAATCACTCTATCAAAATGAAATATTTCATTAAATAAACCCCTAATGGTACGCGAGGCTACATTCTCAGTTTCCTGCACAGCACACAATTGTCTCCTAAGATTACTGCAACAAGTACTGTAACATTACAACCCGTCCTCTTAAAAATAACGTCACTTTTGGCTCGTATGCGCGATATGGCTAAATTTGGACGTAATTTGAAATGAAATCCACTCACAAAAGTGACGTTCTGTTCCGTTTTCTATTTGAGTCGGCCGGCGTACGCGCAGAGGTTATAAGAGGACACTTTAAATTAACGTTTTTCATAACGTTTTGAAACTTTATAAGAAATTCCTACATTAACAGTACTCTCTATATCAATATTAATAGCTGTACGTAACCCGGCAGCACATTGAAGATTTAATACAAGTTATGAATCACTTGGATTAGTCGATAGAGCAACGGCCTCGCTTCTTGCAGGTCGGCGTTCAATCCCCGATGACCCAGATCATGGGTAATCATTCCTTCCCTCAGCATAATCCCAGATCTTCATCCTCACATTCCTTGCAAGTGCTATATAGTCGTGCTGGCTTAGAGCTTTCCCCTCATAATTACCTCTACTCGTTCATAACACGAGTCTCCCACGAGACCTGGAGCCACTGCATGTTTCCAGGTGCAGTATTGCATAGTAGTGACCAGAGAGGTGTTTTCAGTGGGAGAGATGTGGTCACAGTGGTAATATATTCGTAATTGAAATTGAAATAAGTTTAGAGGTAAAATACACACAAAGGAATGAGGTAGCTCAAGCTATTCTCACCCCGTTCAGTACATCGTGTTAATACATACATAGACACACATCACAAACATATTACCAAACATTCTGAGAGATAAACATCTACATTTCCTGTAAATGTAATTGTTACAAGATTTGTTACATTCTTGTACAGCCACTAGTACGCGTAGCGTTTCGGGCAGGTCCCTGGAATAGGATCCCCGCCGCGAAGAATCGTTGTTACAACCAAGTACACATTTTACTGTTGAGTTAAACAGAGGCTACAGTTAAGGATTTGCGCCCAGTAAATCCTCCCCGGCCAGGATACGAACCCATGACAAAGCGCTCGCGGAACGCCAGGCGAGTGTCTTACTACACCACGAGACTTGTGTGGTACACAACTGAGTGGGATCCACTAATTGCCAAAAGTTATGTCCAGTTATACCATGGCTATTTTTAACCCTACCTAATTAAATTAGATGTTTTTTTTTTATGTACAGTGTAAAAGATCATAAAATAAAGTTTTGGGAAGTTCTTGGAGGCTTCTGCTGTAACCCCCCTGCACATATTGGTCATGGAAGGTCAGTGTGTTGAGAAGCGAACAATGTGAAATTAACTTGTAAAAGAATTATATACCGAAAAATCAAGTTCTAATACATTAAGCTTTGCCTGTTTATGTTTACATAACAGTAAACATTTGTAGCTTGCATGAAAGTACAGTACAGTATTACTATTAAATGCTGATGTCATATACTTTCACGTGCCCAATATTTATTGGGCACAATATTAATTAAAAGATGATGTAACATCCTAATGTTACATTACTTACAAAAGTTATTTAGAAAAATTACTTACTTACAAAGAGGCACTTCGCAAGTGCTTTGCTGGGTCCATATCCTGGCTGGGGAGGATTGACCGGGCACCAATCCTTAACAGTAGCCTCTGTTCACCCAGTAGTAAAAAGGGGGTACCTGGGGGTTAAACAATTTGACAGGTCGCATTCTGGGGAAAAAATAGGATTAAGGACCTGCCCGAAACGCTACACGTGATACTATAGTGACGGTACAAAAAGGTTATATCTCTTGCATATATATAAATAAATATAAATAAATGTTATGACCATGGTATGAGTGCAACAGGTATTCTGAGAGAGAACTATCAACATCAGAGGCCCGAGACTGTTCAATACGCTTCCACTACACATAAGGGACATAACTGGCCGACCCCTCACATTGTTCAAGAGAGAACTATCAACATCAGAGGCCCGAGACTGTTCAACACGCTTCCACTACACATAAGGGGCATAACTGGCCGACCCCTCACATTGTTCAAGAGAGAACTATCAACATCAGAGGCCCGAGACTGTTCAACACGCTTCCACTACACATAAGGGGCATAACTGGCCGACCCCTCACATTGTTCAAGAGAGAACTATCAACATCAGAGGCCCGAGACTGTTCAATACGCTTCCACTACACATAAGGGGCATAACTGGCCGACCCCTCACATTGTTCAAGAGAGAACTGGATAAGCACCTCCAAAGGATACCTGATCAACCAGGCTGTGACTCATACGTCAGGCTGCGAGCAGCCGCGTCCAACAGCCTGGTTGATCAGTCCAGCAACCAGGAGGCCTGGTCGACGACCGGGCCGCGGGGACGCTAAGCCCCGGAAGCACCTCAAGGTAGCCTCAAGGTATGGTGCAGCTATCAAAGGAAAAGAAAACACTAATATATATTCAGATTGTTTAACAGGTACAGTGTCTAGCAAGTTTTGTTCTTTATCAGCACATTATTATGAATAAGGTTTTATTACTATTATCCGTAAGTTACAATAGCCCATTTTCAAATTACATATAGGCTCGGGTCATCAGCGAGAATAGAGAAAGAAATATTGTTACATTTATAGCATACTATTTAATGTAATACAATGACATTTTGTTAAAAACGTTAAATCATAAATACCCTTATAAATGACTTACTGGGTAAGATGCTTAATAACAGCATTTTTCACTTATCACAGATGATTGTGAATGAGGCTAGATGTTTGTGTTGCCGATACAACATTGATGAATTTTTATGATTTTAAGCAAAACCTTTTGATAGAACTACGGTGGGTAGACTTGCATCCTGAAATACGATTCCGTGGCCTTATTTTTAAGATTAATACTACCAGCTAATGTGTTATTCGTAAGAATAACGCAAGTTTAGTACATGCAAAATATTATCTTAAGCCTTATAATTTGTACATCTTTCCTATAGATCTTGATGGCATATAATGATAACTCTCATTGCCAGGGACAAGAAGCCTGTACTTAGGCTTGTATGAAGTCCCCTTCCCCCAATACGTCCAACTACCTATCTTCCCAGGATGCAACCCACAACAGTTGCTTAACCCCTGGGCACCTAATTTACTGCCAGGTGAACAAACACATCAGGTAAAAGGAATCGTGCCCAACCATTTCTCCATCACCCAGCGACATGTGGAATATCCCCTCGGAAATGCCACCTCATTAAGAATTCTCTTTAGTTTTGTTTCTCCCAACATGACATCTTGTAATCTGGGTATTATACCTGTTCTAGGTATAATACCTATTTTTTAACTTTTCCAACTCATTCCATGTATGTTGGTATACAGAGTTTTCCTGAACTTATTTCCATCTTTGTTCTATGCCTCCTTTCTCTAATAATTTACTGGAGTTAATAGAAGGACTTGCATAAATGGAATGAAATGTTGAATAAAAACTTATAATACTGACGAGTTGTCATCATTTATTAACAAATTCATGTCAAACATGGCATAATGGCAACAATGAATAAACCATGGCAGTGCTGGCAAGACAATCCTTTATATGGTTATTAGTTGTTTTTTTACTATTAAACAGCAAATCAAAATGATAAATGTGAAGGAAATGTGAAAAGGGGGAAGGCAGGAGAATGATTATTGGCTGTCACAGGCATTAAGATTGAATTTGGGAGGGTTAGGGGCCTGTAGGTGACTGCTGTTGGAATGCAATGTTCACTATAACTCAAGGCAGTGGTTAGTGCATGTGGTTCATAAATAATTAATAAAGAGAGGGGAAGCAAATTAGGTTACAAGTGGAAGGAAAACATAGTACAATACTGTACAGTATTAAGGGTGGGAATGGTTGAAAGTCGAAGATGGTCATTTGAGTTGCTTGGGCAAATGTACAGGTAGGCAAAAGGCCTGGATACCCAAGCTCTTGTCTAGCTCTTGAAATAAAAGATTTTCTTTAAGCCTCAAATTAAGAACTGTTTAAATTTATAATAGTTACAAGAATGATTATGTCAGGTGACCATTCCCAGTAAATACAACGGTGATGGGGCTCAGCACGCAAGTCAATGTTTCCAGATGCACCACAAAGGAGACAATAACTTCTGCCTTTTGACAAAAGTGGCTTGACCAAACTTCCAACAATCACTGCACTAACAAGGATTTGAAATACACTTCCTAAGTTAACATCGCCCACTGCCAATAATAAGGTTTTGCAGAGTTTGCTTGGACACTGTAGCCCTACTTTGCTGATGATTCAGGGCCTCGCTACAGTGTTTAGAAGTGTCTTCCATAAACAAAGTACTGTACGCAAACAATTTTAAAGTTTGACACCGATGCACAAATAGCGAATAGACCATAACCACATATAGAAATATGGCAGGATTTTCAGGTCCTCTCATAGGTTTTTCTTATAAAACCTGTTAATACTGTACAAGTTTAGTTCCACATTTCTATCACCTTCACAGAAAACAGGTACATTAACTTTAAACAGGTTAACTAAAATTAACATTTTAGATCAACTTTTCTCTTCCATATCTAGCACCTTTGTACTCTTCACCTATGGTACATAATCAATTTTCTGTTGTGTTGTAACTTGCAGATGACATGCGTGCTGATATATCAGAAATACCATGAGTATGGATTATTTCAAAGTTTTATCAGAAAATCTGTATTAACCAAAAACAATTATTTGCAAATGTTCGTCTCAATTATAAATTTGCAAATTATGCAAGTTTTTCTGATAACCCATGATCTTTTCAGATACTTGATGCCTAAATAATTTACTGAAGTAATTTGCATGTCATTAATAAAATTATTTAAACTATATTACTGTATTAAACGTAATCACATGTAATACCAAAATACGGGCAATACTCATTATAAATTACTTTGGACAAGAGACTGTGTACGGAAAAAAGGATAAAATATGATCAAACAAAACATAAGTCAAGTTGCCGATGTATTTTCTTGGAAACGTCAATCCACCTAATTATACAATTTTTATGAAAAGGAAACCACTTTGTTGCCCAGGGAACATATCACATTATCTCTATACAATTTCTAAGCAACACCCTTTAAACGTTCAAAAGTAACATCATGCCACTCAGTTCATATTTTGTTACAATACGTACATGTAATGTACACCATAAGACAACCTTTTGCTTGTTTTCCTCCCCCAGAGTCATGACTCTAGTGTCATAATGAACATAATTTATTGTAGCTTAAATCATCAGTGAAGAAAGATGCACAGTTTTTTTTTATGCATTGAATCCAGAAAATTAATGAAATGCTATAAAGATCAACAATAACATTTTACAGTAACCGCATGCATAGAAGCAAGTCTTGAATGTTGTACAGTGCTCAAATGAGCCTTCACTTTAAACTATATCAGCCCCTCACCAAAACAGGTTCTTCACAATTATGGGTGCAGAAGGTCTTTTAATGTTTACCAATGTATGGACCAATTTTTTTTAATAGACTTAAGATTCTTATCATTATTAATACATATAATGTATAATACTTATGTACAAACACACCAAACAACAGTCAGTGGGGAAGATTATATACAGAGAAAACACAAAGAGCTCTTACAAAATCTGGAAAAAGTCAAACGTAGCACACGAATATGTACATACTGTATACAAGCTATGAATATACTTTCATATTACATAACTGAAAGTATTACTTTATCATCTTAACTGCAATGCAAGCTACTGTAATGAGAAAAACAATATTTAGAGCTAAAGGATATAGTTACTTTACTGAAAAGACAATATGAACATAGAACAGCACAATAAAAGTTTTGGTATGAGAATGTTGTCAGAGGACAGAGCTGGCATTAGACTGAATTGTTGTAACACCAAATCATTTCAACATTGCAATAAGGGTATAATTGAAAACACAGAAAAACACAGTTCAACATCTGTTAAACAACTTGGAATTCAATCTTATTTCTGTCAAGAGTTCAAGCACCAAATCAACAACATTCTAAATAACTATTAATGCAAAAGTCATATTGTGGATTTATACTGAATGCCAAATTTTATTTTACCAACAATAGATGACTTGCTGTAGGATGCAAAATATTGTCAAGAATATGCAATGGAACTCTCTGGAGAACATACTAAGCCCTGGAGAAATGTGGGAGCAGCATAGTGTGTTGGCATGAGAGGCACACAACCTTACTGTCAAGTAAGATGCAAGATCAATGACTGCCTTAAAGTGCACGACACCTACTGACTATCAGCTGATGGTTAACAGGATCCCGGTCTGTCTTCGTCTCCAACCAAGCCTCCTGTCGGTAAACAACTTAAAAATGAGGACAAGGCTCAAATACACAATGGGCACAGATTTATGATTTAAATGTTTGAATAATATATATTTGGGATGATAATGATCCCAAATAATTAACAAAGTAAAAATAATAGATCAGTCCTCATTTCAAAGCACAACCTTTCAAACAAGGAAGTGTAAAGCATGCTTCCTTTAATATCAACCACTTATTTTCTTTGCAATCTATATTTTCCAGCTACACAAATCACTCATCACTTTAAACATGCCTAATCCCGAGAAAATGCACAGGAGCCACGATGAGGATTCAAACCTGTGCTAGGTATTCCCAGATGCATGCTCTAGACGACTACGATACAACATGGTCAAAAGAATTGCAACCTGGCCCACTACTTCACCCTCGAAGATTCCTCGAGATCAGAAGAACTACTGGACGATAGAGCCAGTGTGCACGGGGATGAGGGGGGGGGGGGGGGGATGAGGGGTGGGGGGGGGGAATTGTGTGAAACCCTGGTTCAGTTTCAGTGGAAACCTCGTCAATCTTCAAAGGTGCAGTAGTGCCCCAGGTTGCAATTCTTTTGACAATTTTTATATGCGTAGTCATCTAGAGCGTGCATCTGGGAATATCCAGCTCATCGGTTTGAATATTTATCACGGCTTCTGTGGATTTTCTCAATGCCATTTACACGATAATGTGATATCTCTGTGTAATGCCTTATCCTGTTGTGCTTACAAGGTCAAACACAGTAAGCCTTTCAAAAATTCATCATATATATAATTGTAATTAATATGGTTATAAAGTATGCCAACATTTAATATTTTGACTGGTTACGATCCAGTACTGGGTCACAACTTGTACTTTGGAGAGCCCTGGTAAGGAAGGTAGCCAACATGGTCCCAATATTCAGAAAAGGGGATAGACGAACCCTTATGTGAACAACCATTCGATTAGCCTCAAGGTAAAATTGGGAAAGTTTCTCTGTTATAACAACAAAATTTAATAAAACAAAAACTTGAAATGTGTTCTGTTTAAGGACTTCCAACACGATATCTTGCAAGGAAAATCGTGTTTCACCACTGTGCAATCCTTGTACACAAGCTTATTTGAGGCAACTGACAGCAGAGCCTACATTCCCTGAAGAGGCAAGGGAAGACATGATTCAAGTCTTGAAACTATCAGCTCAGGGTCAGAACTGTTAACAGTGGCAATAAGCCGACAAATTTCAGATTCAAGAAGGATAAGGAAGAGGAGTTAGATCAAGATGGGCCAACTGCAGTGACTTGAACAATATCATCTTATTTATATATAAGGTGTGAAGATTTCACAAAGTACATCCTACTCTAGATGCATCACTACATGGGCATAATTAAAGTTCATTCATTACATACAAAGTCTAGGCCATCTAAAATTATTTACTTTGAAAGAATGACCAGCAAAGAGCAAAACTACACAAACAGTTTATATCAATACAATACAACTTACAACGCATCAAAAGAAAAATCAGAGCATTTATCTTGTGAAAATCCAGGAGAAGATAGAAGGAAAGTGTCCAAGTCCATTTGATCCTCTATAATCCCCTGTCAAAGAAGGAAATATTTTAGTTCTAATTCTAATATTTTAGAATTATATGAAATCATATTATTATATATTATATAATTATATATTATATAATAAGAATTATATTACATGCTATATTAAGACTATATTATTGGGAAAAGGATTATTTGTAAACAGGTCACTTCAAAAGTCAAGTTACCCACTCAACAAGGGTTAACCTTACAAATGGAAAGATATCCGAGTCATAAATAGCTTTACAGATGGTCCTTTGGTGACAAAGGTCTCATATGGCAACATGTATCATGATGTAAACAATGCCTGATGCAGTTATCAACAAGCAAGAGGGATTCACCAGGCTCGAGAGGACTGGAGCTGCTGGAGATGCTGCCATCAGGCTGAGTGTGCGTCACAACCACTTCCTCTCGACCACTGCTATCCACGTATTTTTTGGTTTCCTCGATTGTCTGAAAAACATTTGCATTTTACTCAATTGTAAGATCAGTAAATTGTCATGTAAATTCTTTAACTCCAAAATCCGATTCAATTGTTCAAGCACAACGGATGAATTTTGTGTCGGTGCCATTAAATACTAATGAGCATTTCATTCAAGAAGAGCTTTATATAGAGTAAAAAATATTTAATTGGCTTTGGTCTAATATTATACCTTTTACATTTTTAAACATTAGAAAAAATACTGTCCACATGTTTTCTTTATGTGCAAGTGTTGCCTAACATTTCATCACTTAAATATGTTGATGGCTTTTCATCCAATATACATCATTATTAGCAGGTTAGTCATGTTGTGCAGAAAGAGTTCATCAATCACAGGCAAGAACAGCTTCCTTATCATAGATCATAAGGCCGGGTTATTAGAAAATCACGAGTTGTGGAATATGTTCAGGACTCTAGTACTGTATACTAATTAGTTGGTCAGTCGGCTATTATGGTCGATGTAATATTAACAATCCTCCAGACATTGTGTGGGCATTTGTCTCTATATATCAATGGATGGGCAAGTTATATGGTGGGCCATGTGGCTGAAGAACCATACATGTGAAAACAGTATTGCTATTACTCAAAGATAAAGAGCCAATTCGGCCTATGGCAGGGCAATTATCAGTGGACTGAATGGAGACAGTCATAGTTCTCATTAGGCTGAGAAATTTACAGGAGCCTGATGCTTGAGGATGGCTCTTTAGTGCTACAAGCTCTAGAAAACTACCAAGAAGGCCAACACAGAAATAGTGATGATCACTAGCTGATTTGAGAATCACTAGCCAATTTACAATCACTAGCTGACTTGCAGCTAGTGATAGCAAAGTAGCTTACCCCATCAGGCCGCCGAATTCTAACAATGGACGTAGAGCGATAACTCTGCTGGACTCCTGAATGTGGCTGAGTTGTCTCTGGTTGTGTAACAAGTGGATGATTGGAGCCTGGACTAGGTGAGGACTCGTACGAGTAACTTGGCCCATCTTTCAGCAACTGTGAGAGGCCTCCTGTAACCCTATCAAAACAAAAAATAGGGCTTTCATTAAAGTACAGTACTGCGTTTTGTTCAAAATGAAATGATCAACAATGCATTATGTTGAGCATTTTTATATATGTAGTCTATGAAATGGCTGAATTACTAGAGTGGAGGTTTTGCTCTTAAGTGTGTTAATACAAGTTTTCCCTTCATGCTGTGATGAGGAAAGTGGTGTACTAAGGTTAAACAACAGCAAATACATAACCTCTCTCTCGCATTTTTTTTTTTCCATCGAGAGGCGAATATTAAAATTATAAGACAGTGATAGTGGTGAAAAGTGATGTGCACACACAGGTAAGGAGAGTAAAACGAGGCAGTAAAGAAAGGGACATACAGACTCATCATCTCATTCTAACTCATCTTTGAAGACCATACCCTTGTGCAAATGCATCAGTTTAAATTTATTATATGATCACGCCCATCAATGTGTATTACCAATGATATTTATTATAGCCTAAAATTTACAATAAGATCCATGACTACCTGTCATCAAGGTCTAAATCTTCTTTCTTCCCTGCAGAACCTGCATTATGATCAGTGGGGTCCTCATCAGAACCAGGCAGTGTGTGAGGATCTGTCAGATAAAAAAAAAAAAATCATATTACTGATTTTTTTATTTTACATTCTAAAATCATTTGGTTATTTACTTCACTCCATTGGTCTCTGCTTCCAAGCAGAGGAAGAAGCAGCCTTAGGAAGTCCTCGCCTTCAAGTGTTACAAAAGACAAGAGACTTGGGAAGACAATGACAAGGTCTATTACAGCTTTTGTGAAGACCTCCAATTTATTCACAGTATTAGAGGACAAGTGATGTAGGGATGCTGCCACTCGCCCAAGAAGGAAGACGACAAAAGGAGTGCCATCAAGTGAACTAAATGAATTTTGGTTATGTACGATTATGAGGTATTAGACAGGACAGTTCTGTGGTAGTGGTAGGGAAAACAGGTTAGCTGGAATTGGAAAATGGGGGATGTTGTAAACAATACCAGCAATATTAAAGCTAATAATGGGGACAAATCTGTTATTTGCATTAGTGCCAGAGAAATGAGAAAAAAAATTGTGCAAGGCACTAATACAGAACTCTAGGACATCCATTGAATTAGGAGGAAGGGAGCAACATCAGTTAACTTTACCATTAAAATATTAAAAATATTAATGATAAAGTTACTCAACTGCATTTTATTCCAAATTGACAACAGTTCCACTCACTTGGGAATTCTCCAAAGGGCGTTCCTTGAAGACCCCATCCAAAGTTCTTGAAGAAATTATCAATCATGCCATGAGGGTCAAAGAGTCCAAATCCTCCAAAACTGTGAGACTCATCAAAGTAGATATTGCCTTCTTGATAATTATCTTCTGCATGCCTGCAAGAAAAACACAGCAAACTCGGTAAAGCAACTAGCTGAAAGGAATAATATATTACTAATTTTACCCGATTCACGATGAAGAGGAAGAAAGACCCGATATCAATATATAATGGATAATGTGATGTTCTATACGAATTGAACTGGTAATCCAAGAGATTTTCTGACGTGTAATTGATTAAGCCGATTACAAATTTCTCTGGCACCTTTGAATTGGGAACAAATCTTGGGTCAACCGCCCAACTGGAAGATTAAAACTGGAGTCAAGATACTATAACAGGATTACAGGGTTTATTCTAGAACATAGAACACTGATGATATAAGTTGGCACGAGACATAGATGGAGAGAGAGTTGCATTACAAGAACTACTTCCGTCTTTTGCACTGGTTACGACCTTCCCGAGCCACATGGCATTCTACCTAATGCTTCTTTCTAGTCCCCATATGTATGACTTGTATTAAGACAACCCAAACTCCACATGGAACTTGACAAATTGTCTTGCCACATATTCTAAGGATGAGGGACAGTCTAGTCTAATCTCATTACACCAGAGATGGCCTGTTATGTCACCAAAGAGCAGAGCACATATTACACCACTACCTCCAATTGATAACTAGAAGCACAAGATAATTATTGCTCTACTAATTATAAAGTTAACTGCTATCAGTCGGCCAACAGTTGCTATCCTGAGAAATTATGACCGAGCAGGAGGGTGTTATGTTTTGTTGAAACACTTAGTGGTGTCATTTTCCAGTCATTTGGGTGTACAGGCATACCTCAGTTTAAGAGCTTAATTGGTTCCTGGAGACGCCTCATATTCCGAAAACTCGCATTCCGAAGCTAATTTCCCCATAAGAAATAAAGGGAAATGAATTAATCCGTTCCTGACTACCCCAAAAACCCCACATCAAACAAAATTTTTATACCTAATTCATCTAAATAAACCTACAAAACTATGTTCAAGTTATTACTTACCTTGCTGTTGAATGCTGTAGGCATATGGAAGATGGTGAGGAGGTAGGAGGAAGAGAGGAGTTACTGTTTAGAAGGGGAGTCCCCTTCCATTATCACATCAGGCAGTGAGGACTTCACTGGTATGCACACTCTGGCACATTTTGCCTGCATACCACTAGGACTTGCTTGTTTTACTAAGAATTTGTCTAATGACACTTGTTTTTCCCTACATTTTAACACTTGTCTGTAGTAAGACATCACATTATCACTTAAAAGGTCAATGCAACGACCTGCTACAGCTTTATCTGGGCGAGTTTTTTTCAACAAAACTTTGCAGTTCTTCCCATACTTCACACATTTTCTTAATCAAGAAGGGACATCCTCTACTGCCTCTACTCACAGCTATTTTCTTAGGTTGAACCTTACCAATGGCTTTCTTGAGACCCATGGCAAGATATATAATGACAACTTTTATGCTCAAATGGCCAAAAAAACGATAAAAAACTGTAAATTCTTGTGAAGAATTCAGGTGGGATAGTCACTGGACACGAGACACTGGTAAACTGAGGCGCGATCGCCATGCCACCACGCGCTAGTCGGCCTGTACACGTATCAACAAACTCGCGTCCCGAGGTAACCCTCGCCTTCCGAGACATATTTTTGGAGTAAATCCTGTTCGTCTTCCGAAAAACTCGCATACAGGGACACTCGCATTCCGAGGTACCACTGTATCTGGTTATAGCTAGCAGTTTTACTTTCATTTCATGGTTCTATTGCCTAGTGTGAGGTTGGAGACTGATTTTTTGTGCACCAATTTGGTACCATTCTGGATATTGCAACTCCTCTCAGTTTGGGTCATTGTCTTTGCTGTCTCTGGCCAAAGCCTTGGTTTGTTCTGGTATCCATTTCTACACACAATACAAAAGATCTATTAGCTTTACTTTCTTGCTCCTGCTGTTTACCTAGTTACTCCCACCATCTATTTGAAAAAAATGAATTTGCATTCAAATTACCCAAAGATTTGGGTTTCTGGAATTTGGATTACCAAGTGAGAGAATGGTAGTCTCTCAGCTAGTCTTGTACACCTGTGGTTGCAGATGCTGTGCAATGCTGTGCACTGTTGAATATGTCCCTAAAATTAGTAATCACATATGCAATTCAGATGAAGTACAAAGTTCAGAGATACGACATCTGGTTAAATGGAGATGTTATTGCTTGTGCATCCTGCATGTATAGTCATGGGTGGATCACTACCATATTACTTGGTGCGAGCTGTGGGAGGTAGTCATCAATCAGGCCGGTTGAGGTCACCATTCTCTGTGTACTCTGTGACTTCAGAGGAACCTATGGTTCAACCAGTCAAATGTAGACTGGCTGGTTCAGAATGCAGTTGAGGTAGTAACTGCATTCTGATTGGTGTTGGTGAAGACTCCTCAGTAACAATGTGCGAGGCATGGGTTAATCTGCATCACACCAGCCTCATTCTTGAGGACTTATTGCAGTCCTGACATGACTCCCTAACTCTCAGAGTCACGTCCCCCAACCAGTCATGCTTATTGAATTGCGGAAAATTCGGCAAGCTCCGTTAATCAACTTTTGTGGTGGTGGTGGTGGTGTTACGGCTTCAAGTGATAGAGATGGATTATCTTAGTAGTGGGTCCCATTCAGAAGTGACGAAGAAGAGGACGCGCATGAATGCGTGTGCGAGAGCCGTATACTGTAGCAAGTACAGTACTTTTTAATTCTTACATACTCATTCTCTCACATTCGTGGTGCCAAGTACAAGCCAGTTGAGAATAAAGGATTCCTTGACTCTGAATCAACGCAGCAGTTTTTAGCAACATTTACCAAGAGTGCTGGTCTATGGCCGAGCACATGTTTGTGATTTATTACTAACACATGTCAGAATTTACATGGTAATGGTAATTTTCTCCCAAGCATCATTAGAGCTCCTGTAAATGTCCTATGAATACAGCAGTGGTGTTAGACAGCCGTTATTAGTGGAGAGGTCACACTGAAATGTAATGTTAATGGTTATAAACTTGCTTATATGATGCTCTGTAAAGGCAATTATACCCCAACCATGAGTAATTATTTCTGTGTTAAGTTTAATAAACTACCTGTAAGAAATACATGGTTGAATCCCTTTGATGGAACCGATTCTCTGATTCCCTGCTTCACGAGGCCGAGTCGGACGTGGCCTATAATCTGGCTGGATTCACTTTGTAATTTGTGCTGTTTCTCTAGGAACTTTACACTTGATGATAACTGCTGTGCATAGCACCTATGCAAACATATATGGTCCAAACAACATAATTTTGGACACCAAGCTTACAATTTCATAGTGGGCCTTTTACTTTTTTTTAGGCTGTGGCTACCCTCACCTTATTCCTGCAATTCACTATACGAGGTCACACAAGCACACATCGAGTTCATACCTCTCATAGCACATTTGCCACTTTAGGTTTTGTCTAGATGTCACTTAGCCTAGTTTACATGCTTCAGTTTTGCGTCACATCCACCAGTTGGGGCCCCATGGCATTAACTGATAGGGCCAAGCCTAATTCTTCCATATGTAGTTTTACATTATATGACGAAATATGAAAAATAAATAAAATGACAGAACAAAAGTGTCAAAAACATAAATATCTGCAGTCAATGGAGTCACAATAACGTGGCTGAAGATATGATGACCAAACCACACATCAGAAAAAGGAGAAATGACAACGTTTCGGTCCATCCTGGACCATCATCAAGTCATCTGATAATGGTCTAGGATGGACAGACACATCGTCGTTTCTCCTTTTTCTGATGTGTAGTTTGGTCATTACAACTATCTCCACTAGCTTAACTTTGCATGCAATGCCTCGAGTCCTCTGGGAAGCGTATCTCCCTGTTGTGCTTTCCAGGTCCATGTGCATGTATTGGTTCCTATAACTGTGCAGATACTGGGGTTTTATTGATGTGGACAGCAATTGAGACTTAAAATTGTATTTGATGTATTTCCCATATGCAGCCTCACCTTTGAAACACCTAAGTTAATCTTCCAACTCACCCCCCCCCCCCCTCCATCACCCAGATGAGGTATTCTTGCTCTACTCAGGGCTTCTCAGGAACGAATTCCCTAACACGCGAATGAAGTAACATTGTCAGTACCTTTATTATGACCATACAGTAAGTTCATGCTCTCTCTAAAACGGCATTCTTACCCATGATATGGGCCAACACCTCCAAAGTAATGAGAGTGTGGGTGCTGTGGCGTGTGCTTTGAAGGCTGGTCAACGCCATCCTGGGAATCACTGTCTGGCACTTTCAGCAGGTAGTCACGTGGTGACTTTCGCTCTGAAGTTTCAGAATCTGTTCAAGAAAAATCACTATCAAAAATTCATAATGAACTATGGGGAATATGAACAATTGAGAAATCCAACATACATTTTTTATTTTCTTAATTATCAGAATTACTAGAAATATGTTAAAGCATTGTAGTTTGGAAGATACAGATAAACTTTTTAAATGCAGAATTGAATTACAATACAAATGCAGGTACTGTATGTATTTAATAGTTTATAGTAATTTTGAATATCTATGAACATACTGTACATCATTATTACCAGTTTGAACTTTTAAGGAGTCAGACTATAATCATATAATGTACTGTATATATAAATATATATATTGGTGCAGGAGTACAGCAGGCATTGTTTTAAGTATATTTGATTGAAAGTGACCCCATTACTAGCATTGTTGATTTTTGCTATCCAGGCATTTGAAGCATCTGACAATCTTCTTTGCTCATATTTATACATGCAACAATAAAAACATACCAATCAATTAATGGTCAAGAAGCAGGGTCCAAGAGCTACAGCATATTTCCTATTGCACTTAAGTTTTTATCAGTATTGACTACGAAACTTCCTTTAACTTAGTGAATGTGAAAAAATAACTTTAATGTGAAACACGAGCAAAATGGTTGTAAGGTGTGGTGTGAACAAGACATAATGCACCATATAGATTCACCCAAGCACACGCACACACTCCCTAGTAATCCTGGGCGTCTTTAAAAAACATTAAAACCAAAATAATAAGGAAAGGGAAGGATTGAAGTTTGAGAGAGAACGCAAAGCAGGCCCCTTAAAGAATGTGTATTAGACAAGTGTTAGCCCTACAGTCAGGTAAGAATGTAAGAAAATGATTTAAGAATCTAAACAAGAAGAGTTTAAGGTCCATATATATAATACCTATAAGAGACCATCACTGTACTTGTGTATGCTGTATCAGCATGGAACTCGCAATTGTGAAGCAGAAAAAGCAGGTCAAAAAAGTTCAGAATATTACCACTAAATTAGTACTAGAACTGAGAGGCCTCAGTTATGAGGACAGGCAGAGAGAAAACGCCCTCATACTCTTCTAGTATAGTACATTAAAATGAAACCTACCCGGTATGTCAGTAATCATCATCTGGCCTGGGTGACCATGAAAACCTTTCATCATGATGTCGAGCTGCCTGAACATGTCATCCATTTGATGAAATACTGAAGAGAAGGAATCTTCACTGTCTCCTGGGCTGAAGAAAGAGCGGTCACTGTACAAGTCACTGGAAAACAGCTCATCAGATCTTGGCATTCTGAAAAAAGGCAAGAACAGTACATGAATTAAAAGTACAATAACTGTCACACAAATCAAAGCATTATCATCATCAATCACCAATACACATTTAAAAAAATATAAATAAAGTCTGCTATCCTCTTTCATAGTGATTACGGACTGTCTCGGTACTGGGTTGATCTCTGATCCCCCGCTGCAAGTCTGGCAACTATTAAGACAGCTTGCCGACCCATCATTCTGACTATTCATGTAACTATAACACTATAAAGGCATACAAAAACCAAAGTAATTGCTCCTTTAAAACAAAAAATATTATTGGATCACATCATTATAATATTAGATGTTGTATGTACAGTAATCAAATGTGGTGTCAAGTTCATTGTTAAGCCTAGGTTACACCAAATTAGATCCTATGATTAGGTTTTGTACAAAGTATTTAGGCCTTGGTTGTCATTTGGTTAAGAATATTTTATGCCAGGTAGTGTCTTATATATAATATAAATGACTAATAAACTGGATGCGTGTCACACAGACTCATTAGATATAATCACCTGTAATGTACCTTATGACATACTGTACTTCAGTAAATATAATACAACCTTACCCATTAGAATATTTTTCTTTCTCCACAATCTCCTCCCAAGTAGGTCTTCTAAATGGGTTAACATCTTCCTTGGATCTGAAAAGGGTACCCAAAATGGGAGAGAAATTGCACCACAATATTAAAGCACAGCATTGTATGGTTATAATTACTGTAGTTTATTTGAAATAATATGTTCCTACTACATGAGAATGGAGAAATGGGGTAAAGAAAATGGGGTAAAGAAAATGGGGTATACAATGACAATTTACTATGCATTAGAGTGAAGATTTTTTTTTTTTACAAATACTGTACCATATCATACAGTAATTATAGTAAAACAAAATTATGAACATTAATAATTAATAATTTAACAAGCCTTATTAAATCTAATATGGTAATTAAAAGAAATACTGTATTTGGCATTATTGGCACTTAACGACGGAACCCCCAAAGTGCCCCCCCAAAACTAATTAGAGATGTCACTTCACTGTATTTGATTTATTCATCATTATAACGGCTATCCATTAATATTATTTCAGTATAATAATTTATGGTTATTCACTAATCATTATTAGTCACCATAATTAATTATCCACTTTAATTATCTATTTATTCGTTATAATGAGCTATTATGCTTCTTCATTTAAGGATTATCAATTACTTAATCACTTATGATTATTAATTAATTATTTGTATTTAATAATTAATTATTATTATTATTATAAAAATAAATTAAGTCCCCCCGACTTTACATTACTGGAACTGAAGCTCGGAAACTACCGAGAGGTTGCTTCCAGAAAAGGGAACAAATTACAGTACATGAAATCACATATTTAAGTGATTGTGGCCCCTTAAGTTTCATGGTCAGAAATATAACCACGATTTTCATATGAACCATGCACCGAGTCGTAGTATAATTAAAATATTTATTCTAACAGGTTTCTACACGATACAATAATGTCAATGGCAATTTTTTTCCAACAAGTTCTTGGCATTTTTCCGATTTTATTCTATGCACTAATGCAAGAACTATGGGTTTATATTTATGCCGATGGCTGGAGACAAGCGAATTTACCCTAGCATGAGGGGGAAACCAAGTCTAAAGCTACCAATAAAAGCTTTAGCTAAAGCTTAAAGTTTTAAGAATTAAAAGCTACCGGATACTACACACTTCCAAAGACAAAGAACTATCGCTAACATGAGCTTTGGGGGGAGGTGTCTACCGAGCCTAATTTGCAATCATTGGAACCAAGGCAAGAAGTTTCCATGTACACCAGCAGTCCCCGTAATGTATTTGGCAAAACACTTGCCTGGCGTTTCGAGCACTTTGGTCTGGGTTCATATCCCGACTGGGGAGGATATACAGAGCGTCACTCCTTAACTGTAGCTTCTGTTTACCAAACAGAAAAGTGGGTACCTGGTTGTTAAACGATTTGGTGGGGGTTGTATTCCGGGGAGCATAGGATTAAGAACTTGCCCAAAATGCTGTGTGCTAGTGGCTGAACAAGAATGTAATAACTCTTGTATATACCTGTATAAATAAAAAATAAAAATAAAAAATAAAATGTACTCATACCACAAGGAAGCACAGGTGCAAATAAGTCATGGTTAACATGTTTAAATGTTGCTACTCTAGGAAAAAACATTGCTAAACTTTATCATAGATTAGCCAAATCTGGAAATGATCGTGCAAACCATTTGTTGCATGAACTTTAACCCATAGGCCCTCTACATGGATAAAAATCAGATTGTACCCAAGATGGTTCTCTAGCAGATTTTATAACAGACAAGTCATGGTGTATACAAGACGAGTTCAACATATTAATCTAACTGTAGTCAGCCTAAACTAACCTGATGAAGACTAACACAGCCTAACCTAATACATCTTAACTTAATGATATATACAGGTTTGACAATCAGAAAACAGCGTTGTTGAACCATCTTGTGTACAATTCGACTCTGCTGCTTTCATAACCTACCTAATCTTACCCAACCTTATAATACTGTATGAAGTTTTACGATTAGAAAATGAGATTCGTCAAAATGTGTGTATAAATTGACTATGCTCCACTGAATCCATGTGGGGTGCATGACAACATAATTATCAGGGGAAAGCACTAAGACTATGTAGCATATGGAAGGGATGCATACAAGTATTTAGGATAGGACAGAGCAAAGGAATGGTGTCGAACCACTTAGACGGTCGGGGATTGAACAGTGACCTGCAAGAAGAAAGACCCATCACTACCGTCCAGGACAGGTGGATGAGCACGGTGCATCATATGGCAAATTAAAATTATATGCAACTAGCTCACCACAAATGTTTACCTATAATTAATTTTGTTGAGGGACTGGCAGCCAATGTATATACAGCATATACATTAGGCATATATCAAGGTCTCCACAAGGTTAAAGTACTTGTACTGACCCTCCCCAGGATGCAACCCCACAACAAGCCGACTCCAGGGTACCTATTTACTGCTAGGTAAACAGGGACATTAGGCGATAGGAAACGCACCCATCACTGGGGCCAGAATTTTTTTTTTTTTTTTTTGAGATATATACAAGAGTTGTTACATTCTTGTAGAGCCACTAGTACGCGTAGCATTTCGGGCAGGTCCCTGGAATACGATCCCAGCCGCGAACAATCGTTTTTTCATCCAAGTACACATTTTACTGTTGCGTTAAACAGAGGCTACAGTTAAGGATTTGCACCCAGTAAATCCTCCCCGGCCAGGATACGAACCCATGACATAGCGCTCGCGGAACGCCAGGCGAGTGTCTTACCACTACACCACGGAGACTGTAAATATTAACAGTGGCCGCAGTGACAGGTTCTGCCATAACATTCCAGCAGTGTTACCCCTAATCCCGTGTGACCTCGAGTGACCTGCTGGTATATTCCTTACAGTGTTTCTGGATAATTCCTCTAGAAGGCCCTGTTCAACACTAGCCCCCATGAAGCACTCTCACCTCTCACGGAAACCAAAAAGCTTGTTGAACCAATCCATTGTTATTGTACACTGGTAGGGGGTCCCTGCCTATGGCGCAGGCGGCGGCCCCTAGTGGTAGTGGTCCCTGGTGGAGAGAGCAGCTGACGGGGGCCCAGGTGGAGAAACAGCTGACGGGGCCTTGGTGGAGAAACAGCTGACGGTGGCCCAGGTGGAGAGAGCAGCTGACGAGGGGCCCCTGGTGGAGAAACAGCTGACGGGGGCCCAGGTGGAGAGAGCAGCTGACGAGGGGCCCCTGGTGGAGAAACAGCTGACGGGGGCCCAGGTGGAGAAACAGCTGACGGGGGCCCAGGTGGAGAAACAGCTGACGGGGGGCCCCTGGTGGAGAAACAGCTGACGGGGGCCCAGGTGGAGAGAGCAGCTGACGGGGGCCCCTAGTGGAGAAACAGCTGACGCAACACTGGCAACAGTCGTCTCCGGCTGACTGACTGACCTGTGTGATCCGCTCTCAGCGAGACCTTCTCACTAACTGCTGTAATTGCTACCCAATCCATAAAATATCATCTTGTTCTGACAGCTGTATCCCAACGAAAGGGGATTTTCATCAACGAGTGTTTTGTTGTTGAATTTGTTATGAATTTTGAATTTGAGTTGTTGTGTTGCTTTAGGGGCGACGACGATCGTGACGTGCTTGACTAGATAAAGTAAGTAATTATCAATAGAAGGCACCAAACCGGGAAGGCTATGTAGCACCATCAAATGTGCGGGATAATCAGAGGGCGCTAAATATCACCAAGGATACCAATGAGAACAAAAACGCATAAGGCGAACGATATCAAAAGTATCCGAGTCGCCAAGAATTCTATCGAGGGACGAGCGACCGCGGGGGATGGTCGGAAAACAAGACACCTCGTCCTGGAAGTCAGGACATTAAACAAGGATATGTACGACCGTAAGAGGGACAATGCAATTTGGACAATAAGGAGCAAGGAGGCGCTCTATTAAGTGACCGTGAGTTAAACGGGTATGGCCAATACGTAACCTAGCCAAAGCCATTTCCCACCGCCGGTTACGGTACTGGCAGGAGGAAGGCCACTGGGACACACGACTCTTAAGAGTACGCAGTGTGTTACCAATAACAGAAGACCAACAACTGCCATCGGGCAAGGATGGAGGCATGAATAACTGGGTAAAAGTCGGAATAAGGAACACCTTTATGGGAGATGGGGCAAGTGCGGATAGCGTCCTTAGCGGCAGTATCTGCACGCTCATTTAAAGAGACACCAACATGGCTGGGAACCCAGCAAAACGCAACCGACTTAAATTTACTGGAGATAAGAAACAGCCAATGTTGAATCTCGATGACCACAGGGTGGACTGGATTAAAGGACCCTAAAGCCATGAGGGCACTACGAGAGTAAACTACTACCACGAAGGAGGATTGCCCCCCGGGAAAGCAGGAGACGAAGAGCATAGAGTTCTGCTGTGAAGATGCTAGCCTCCGGAGGAAGGTGACACATATAAGTGTGGTCAGGAAAAACAACAGTAGCCCACACCGTCAGCAGACTTTGATCCGTCGGTGAAGATGGGAACGGAGTGGAAGTGAGAAGAAAAGTGCTCAAGGAAGAGGCGTTTCAGAACTGTAGGAGGGGTAAAAGCTTTAGTGATGAGGGTCGATCAGAGAAGTACAAAATTTGGGAAGGGGGACCCTCCACGGGGGCAAGGAGGGAACAATACGAGGAGAAACATTAGTAAGACGAACCGAAAGAGAATCTTGTAAGCGAGACAAACGGACAGAAAGAGGAAGGTGGTGAAGAGGAACAGGAACTACAGGAGGGGTAAAAGTCAAAGCACAATAGAGGCGAGAGTGAGGATGCTGGAAGGATCGCGCAAGATAGCGAAGACTGTAGCGATCACGGCGATCCTGGAGAGACAAAGTCAGTGTCAGCGTACAAGCCGAGGGTAGGAGTTGAACGAAAAGCACCAGAGCTGAGGCGCAACCCAGTATGGTACAAAGGAGCAGGAGGAGAAGCAGAAGTGTATGCAGGGCAATCATAATCGAGCTTAGACAGGACGAAAGAGGAATGCAAATAGAGGAGCGTGCACCTATCCGCTCCCCAAGAAGTATGGGACAAAACCTTAAGTAGGTTAAGGGCCTTAGAGCATTCAACACAGAAGTAAGAGACATGGGGCGACCAAGACAAACGAGTGTCAAAAAATAACCCCAAAAGAATCTTTGTCAAAGGAGATAACCTGAATAAACCAAAACCTGCTTCGTGAATTTGAATCTCTTGTAAACAGGAAAATTTACCTGAATAAACATCTGAATCTGAATCTAAACATCTCAGATGACCATAAAGTGACAGAGGGACGAAGAACGACCCGCTTCCGAGTAAAAGTCATGGCACAAGTCTTAGTAGTAGAGAACTTGAATCCATGATTGGTGGCCCCAAGATGACACGGCATCAATCGCAAGTTGAAGCCGCCGTTGAAGGAGAGGCGAATCATCACCTCAACAGCAAAGAGTAAGATCATCAACACAAAGAGCTGAGAAGATGCCAGAAGGAAGGGAGGAAAGGAGACCATTGAGGGCAACCAGAAAAATAGTACTACTCAGAACACTACCTTGGGGCACACCTTCATACTGCCACAAAGAGGCAGAGAGAGTGGCACCAAGCCTGACTCGAAAGGTACGACGAGAGAGAAAGCTTTGAAGGAAGAGAGGGAGATTACCACGAAGGCCAAAAGAACGAAGTTAGGACAGAATATGGTATCTCCAAGTCGTGTCATAAACCTTTTCTAGGTCAAAAAGGACAGCAACAACGGAGGTCTTCGCAGCAAAAGCAGTACGAATATAGACCTCCAAGTTCACCAGGACATCAGTCGTGCTGCGGCACTTGCGGAAACCAAATTGAGGTGGTGGTGGTGATTGTGTTCCCAGAACCACATCAGACGGACATTTACCATACGCTCCTTACCTTGAGGTTACCTTGAGGTGCTTCCGGGGCTTAGCGTCCCCGCGGCCCAGTCGTCGACCAGGCCTCCTGGTTGCTGGACTGATCAACCAGGCTGTTGGACGCTGCTGCTCGCAGCCTGACGTATGAGACAGCCTGGCCAGGTATCCTTTGGAGGGGCTTATCCAGTTTCCTCTTGAACACTGTTTGGGGATTGTCAGTTATGCCCCTTATGTGTAGCGGAAGCGTGTTGAACAGTCTCGGGGCTCTGATGTTGATAGAGTTCTCTCAGAGTACATGTTGCACCTCTGCTTTTCAACCGGGGTATTTTGCACATCCTGCCATGTCTTCTGGTCTCATGTGATGTTATTTGTGTGTGCAGGTTTGGGACCAACCCCTCTAATATTTTCCACGAGCAAATTATTATGTATCTCTCCCGCCTGCGCTCAAGGAAGTACAGATTTAGGCTCTTTAGTCAGTCCCAATAGTTTAGATGTTTTACCGAGTGGATTCTAGCAGTAAAGGATCTCTGCACGCTCTCCAGGTCGGCAATTTCTCCAGCTTTGAAAGGGGCTGTCATTGTGCAGCAGTACTCCACTCTAAAGAGCACAAGCGTTTTGAAAAGTATCATCATCGATCGCTATAACTGAACTGTAATGCCAATCCTGACCTCAAAAGCTTCATAGAAGGTTGTAACAGAACCCATGAGCACCACACCAGAAATACAGTTTTGATATTCCAAGAGTACGACTTAAACTAGAAATGCTCTACGAATCAAAGGACCCAGAATGTGGAATGACCTTCCCAATCATGTTAAAGACTGTACCTCTCTCAATCAGCTTAAGATAAAAACGAAGCTATACCTAATAAATTCCCTGTAACCTACCTTACCCCTCTATTGTCAACCCATGTTTTTTAAATGACACTTTGTCGACCAAATTGTATTTGTGCTGCTTTTTCAGCCATGTTCCCCCCTTTTTATCTCTGTTCTCAACTCATTTTATTCTTTATGGTCAATTAGTATTAAGCTTTAGTCATTTAAGTTTTTCCATGCCCGAAACGCTTTGCGTAATAGTGGCTTTAGGCTTTGTATGTACTAGCCCTATCTATAAATCCATTCATTCTTTGTAAAATCTCTTGTATGTACCTTACCTAAATAAACATTTATTTATATTTATTTATTTATTACTCAATGGTCTCAGGAGAAAAGGAACGAGAGCGAACAATACGAAGATTGCTGGGAAGATGATGGATATCAGCCTGGACAGACAGGTGGCATGGAGGGTCAAGAGACTGGGGGGGAGAGTCGGGAAGAAAGAGTGGGGAGAGATGGGGAAGAAGAGACAGGAGATATGGCGGACTGGGTAGGAAGGGGGGAAATCCCAGATGGAGAACCGGGAGCGAGACCATCTGGGACAGGAGGCAAAAGAATAGGGGAGGTGGTGGTGGGTGTGGTCGGGTTTAAGGCCTGGAAACGGTTGTTTGACTGAGGAAGACGGGAAGGACGAAAAGATGTAGAACGCAACACGCGAGCGTAGGAGACGCCCACGAAAGGGGCGAGACGACGAACTTGGCGCCTCGCTTCAGGAAAAGACAGACGATCACGGTGCTTCAAGTTGAGGACGGCTTCCTCGAGTTTGTAGTGCATACACGAGCGTGAGAAGGTAGGGTGGGCTTCACCGCAATTGAGGCAGCGAGCCTGGGGAGAAGTGCACTCTGACTTAGAATGACTATTGTCCCCCACACAAGGGGCACAGATACACAGTACTGGCGCATTTGAGGACACCGTGCCCGAACTTCCAACACTTATTGCATAGTCTAGGAGAGGGAATGTACTCCTGAACGGAGCATCTGGCACCAGCAAGAATAATAGAGGGCGGAAGGGCCCTACTATCAAAGGTGATTTTTACAACTCAAAGGGGCCGACGTCGACGACCACGAGGGGGTCGAGTAAACGTGTCCACCTGGAGGACAGAATGGCCTTGGGCTTCGAGGATATATTTAATATCCTCATGGCAATCTTTGAGGTCCCGAACACCAGTTGCAACATGGTGTGGGAGAACAGTGCCAACACTGGCATTTAACCGAGCGTTCTTGGAGACCCGAACAGGGGTCTCTCCAATGCAGGATAAAGCGGCTAAGCTAGTAGCTGCATCCTGAGAAGGAGCAGCGACGACACATGTACCGTAACTGGTGGAGTTAAAAGTAACAGAGGCATCTTTATGGAGGGAGAAATTGTCAGGAGTGGAATCCAGATGGTGGAGATCGAAGTATTTAGCCCACGTAGCCGGACCAAACAAGGTGTTGTAAGTACTATTACGGGAAGGGATCGTGCGAGTGCGGCCGTGGCGGGAATGGCGTTGAGAACCCCCGGAGTTCATGGGGGTAAAAGGTGCAGTAGTCACAATGAGAGACGAAGCTGTGCCAGGGGACGAGGTGGTCACCACTGGGGGCTGGGGACTCAACCCTACCACAGAGGAGGGAGGGGAGCTGAGGGGAGTAGTCAGGTCGTCGGGGCCCAATGCAGCAGGGGCTACCGGGCCTGGTCTTTCAACAGTCCGACTCGGGGATTTGGTTGCCCACCCCACGAGCCTGAGAAAGTACAAGGGAAACATTATCAGGTAGAGAAATAGAAACAATTGAACTCAAGCTACAAGAATCATACAAAACCCAGGAGAGGCAAAGAGAGCAAAAGGCCATCAGTGAAATAGAGAAATCCGAAATATTTTTTCTCCTATGCAAAATCAAGATCAAAAACCACATCTAGTATCGGGCCCCTGCGAAAGGGAGATGGAACTTTCACCGATGACAACAAAGAAATGAGCGAGTTACTGAGGAAGCAGTACGACTGTTTTCAGCGAGCCATTAAATGCACTAAAGATTGATAACCCAAATGAATTTTTCATGGATATGATACCAACATCAAATCATATATCAGACGTCGCCCTATCCCCACTAGATTTTGAAGAAGCCATAAACAGTATGCCTATGCACCAGGCCCGGATTCTTGGAACTCCATATTCATCAAGAACTGTAAAAAACCACTATCGCAGGCCCTTCACATTCTGTGGAGACAAAGCCTAGATACTGGCGTTATCCCTGACATACTAAAATCAGCAGAGATAGCACCACTCCATAAAGGAGGAAATAAGGCAGAGGCAAAAAATTACAGACCGATAGCACTAACATCGCACATCATAAAAATTTTGAGAGAGTGCTAAGAAGTAAGATCACAAAATACATGGAATCACAGCATCTCCATAACCCCGGACAACATGGTTTCAAAACAGGGCGCTCTTGCCTGTCGCAGTTGCTGGACCACTATGATATGGCATTAGATGCTATGGAAGACAAACAAAACGCTGATGTAATTTACACAGATTTTGCAAAAGCTTTTGATAAATGTGACCATGGCGTTATTGCACATAAAATGCGTTCAAAAGGAATTACCGGGAAAATAGGCAGATGGATCTACAATTTCCTGACTAACAGAACCCAATGTGTAATAGTCAACAAAATAAAATCCAGCCCATCAACCGTGAAGAGCTCAGTCCCCCAGGGTACTGTGCTTGCTCCAGTACTTTTTCTCATCCTCATATCGGACATAGACCAGAACAACCTATAGCACTATCATCCTTTGCAGATGACACTAGGATTTTCATGAGAGTTGGCAACAGAGGACACGGCAAACCTCCAATCAGATGTAGATCAGGTCTTTCTATGGGCTACAGAAAATAATACGGTGTTTAACGAGGATAAGTTCCAGCTCATGCGCTACGGAAAAATTGAAAATATAAAAACAGAAACCACGTACAAAACTCGGGCAAATCATAACAGAACGAAAAGGCAATGTAAAGGATCTGGGTGTACTCATGTCGGAAGACCTTACCTTTAAAGAACACAAAGTAGCCGTCACAACTGCAAGAAAAATGACAGGTTGGATAACAAGAACTTTTCACACTAGAGATGCTATACCGATGATGATACTTTTCAAAACGCTTGTGCTCTCTAGAGTGGAGTACTGCTGCACAATGACAGCCCCTTTCAAAGCTGGAGAAATTGCTGACCTAGAGAGCGTGCAGAGATCCTTTACTGCTAGAATCCACTCGGTAAAACATCTAAATTACTGGGACCGACTAAAGAGCCTAAATCTGTACTCTTGAGCGCAGGCGGGAGAGATACATAATTTACAAGTGGAAAATAATTGAGGGGCTGGTCCCAAACCTGCACACAGAAATGCCACGAGACCAGAAGACATGGCAGGATGTGCAGAATACCCCCGTTGAAAAGCAGAGGTGCAACAGGTACTCTGAGAGAACTATCAACATCAGAGGCCCGAGACTGTTCAACACGCTTCCACTACACATAAGGGGCATAACTGGCAAACCCCTCACAGTGTTCAAGAGAACTGGATAAGCACCTCCAAAGGATACCTGATCAACCAGGCTGTGACTCATACGTCAGGCTGCGAGCAGCCGCGTCTAACAGCCTGGTTGATCAGTCCAGCAACCAGGAGGCCTGGTCGACAACCGGGCCGCGGGGACACAAAGCCCCGGAAGCACCTCAAGGTAGGTAGCCATGAAAACGAGGGAAAACTTTCATTCACGAATGTGCCCCCACACCCTCCATGGAGCCACAATTAGAGGCAGGACACCCAACAAGAAGCTATCACTGATCTTGCCGGGGCCCGTCAGGGGTGCGTCGCGAGTATACGCCCCACAAACGCCACCTTAAGAACCGTGAGTCCGTCGAGAGCGGGTTCAGTGACGAAAGGAGGCTTGACAATAAAAGGGTCCCCTCGCTCAAGACGTTGGGTACTACAGTTCTACGGGTGCAAGAGTATGCCTCCTCAAACACCCGGGCGTCAAAACAAAAGGTCGAAAGAATCAAAACAGGCAAAAGGTCGGCAGGAAATGACAATTTGATAGAAGAGGGAAGGGGGGGGGGGAGAAAAATGAAACACGAGGAAAAGGAAAAGGGGTCTGGCAAAATTGGGAAAGGCAGCAGCAGGAGCATAAGGCTGCAAAAGGACAGAGGACTGACCTATGGAGCATCACAATCCAGCAGCTGCCCACCAAGCCCCCTCACGGCGACAATGAGCCAGACAGTGAGGGGGCACTGTGGTAAAAGTCACTCGCAGATTACTTAGGCAGCGGCACTTAAGTCACTCTAGGTCACTTACAGATCTCAATTTGTCACCAGGGGTTACCTGATACCAGTCTGTTTCGCTCTGGTGATTTGTCACTGTAGAAGGATTCTAAACAACAGTCACGATCGCGATTCTGGGCGATCGTGAATCGCCCAGAATCCATCAATATCTAGTTGTAGGAGGAAAGCCAAGGGAATTTCAATCTTAATCTCTCAAACAATTGCAGACTTCATTATGAATGACAAGTCAGAAATCCAAGTTAGGAATTAACTCTAGGGAAACTAAAAAAAAAAAAAAAAAAAAAAAAAAAAAAAAAAAAAAAAAAAAAAAAAAAAAAAAAAAAAGTATGAATGGCTTCAGTAGTAACACCTGCTAGGTCATTGAAGGCAACATTGGTATGGCTGAGAACCTAACCATAATTTGATTATCTTATACAGTGCTTAGGGGTCAGGGAGCCCCTCTAATAGTCCTAAAATAAATTATTATTTTACAGTATAACCCAATCATAAATTGTTCATCAAACTGTCAACATTTTCTATTCCACTAATCATTTACATGAACATTAAGTCTTTATATATGGAGTACTTCAAATATTTATTAAGCACACTACACCTATGCAATATCTTGCAAGAAATTTCTGAATATTAGTAAATATCAAAACCTTGCCATAAACTTTTTACTTGAGGGGGGGATGGGGGGTGGGAAAATTGTTAACAATTTAAAACTTTATTTCATAAAATACATAGTTATTCTGCTAGATTTTTTGCAGGTTTGATAAAATTGCTGGAGTTCATGCATCTTCATTGCTGGAGTCGTCTTCTTTATCTCGTGTAAATAATGGGTCCGTTTGCTGTTCTGATAAGATGTGCTGGAACCCTGAAAACAAATTAAAATAATTCTTTATCTAAAAAATATTACATATAGACAGCCAAGTACTTTTCATACACCACTTATTCAGATATTAATTTTGGATTTAAATAAAGTTAATGATAAACTGCCCATCCAAAAATACTGTTAAATGTAAAGATGTTATTTTCTAGATAAGTCCAGGAGGCTCCCTGGAGCTACCAGTCTAATATGGGATTCATTAGACCGGGACAATATATTCTAAGGAGTTCAGCCTACCAGTGACTACAAGCCAGAACCTGGCCCCCCTCAGAGGCACAGGGAGCAATGGTCCTGGAAAACCCTCTTAACATTTGTAGTGCTTCAAAACTTTGACAAAGCCTGGCAAGAAGTGACTCAAAGAACCCTGATCTCTGACTGGAGAAAATTGTGGCCTGAATGTGTGCCAGAACTAGACTGAGGGGGTTTGAGCTTTTAAATAAAGAGCCTATTGTTGAGGAAATTGTTACTCTGGGCCAGAAAATGGACTTGGAATTTGATGGTGCTGATGTGGAGGAGTTGATGGAAGAACACAACAAAGAACTGACCACCGAAGAACTCCAAGCCCTTCAAAAGGAGCAGCAACAAGAGGCAGCTGAGGATATTTCTTCAGGAGGATGATGAGGCAGAGAATATCCCTTCCTCAACAATTAGAAAGTGGTGTAGGATGTGGGAAGAAATGCAAACTTTTGTTGAAACGACTTACCCACAGAAAGCTGTAGTAGGCTGTTGCATTAATCTTTTCAATGACAATGTGATGCCTCAATACAGACAGGTGTGGCAAAGAAGGGAAAAACAATCTTCAGTGGAACGTCTCCTTGTGAGAAAATCGAGCAGTGAGCCACAACCAGGTCTTAGTGGTATGCAGGCAAATCGTGCCAGAGTGCACTCCAGAGAGGTCTTCACTGCCTGATGAAAGGGGACTCCCCTTCCAAACAGTAACACCTCTCCTCCTCACCCTCTTCCATACGCCAACAGGAGTCATCAGAGAGAGTAAGTAATAAGTTGAATATACTTTTGTAGTGAAGATTTAGGTGAATTAGGTATAAAATTTACTTTGAAGTGAAGTTTTTGGGAGTCGGGAACGGATTAATTCATTTCCCATTATTTCTTATGGGGAAATTCGCTTCAGTTTATGAATTTTCAGGTTACGAACCGTCTCCAGGAACGGATTAAATTTGTAAACCGAGGTACCCCTGTATTCAAGATATATTGTTGCCTAGAGGTTATATTAATTTATGTTTGGATAGGTTGGGTTTAGTTATGTTTGGGTAGGTTGGTTATTAGGTTAGGTAGGTACAGGAGGCTTATATGCCAGCAAACCGCTTGGACCGTTGACTTGCTATGGCATTGCCAGCTTCTTATTTTCATCTAATTTCATTATTAAATGATACCTTTTATATAATGAATAAATATATCATTTATTCATTATTAACAATGCTAGGAAGCTTTGTGCAGCTTTGAGTAAGTTTGGGTAGCTTTGGGTAATTAGACAGACCCCCCCCCTCTTGTGGACACCTGGCTGCCACACGTAACACCGCAGAGGACACCATAAAGGCAGACACTGCTTGGAAAGTGAGGCCAGAGAAGATGTCTGCCCTGGTTCGCATTAGCTGACAAGCTGGAGTACTAGGTAGCCAGCGCGGGGGGGGGGGGGGGAAAGGTTGTGCGGACAACCTGCGCAACTACAAGGTATGGTGTGTGAGGTTTGCTTGTTTTCCTTGGGACTGGAGGGAATTCTGCCTCTTTGTTCAGTTTTTGGTTGCAATTTTCTTACCATGTAGGGCCTGTTTTGTTATGCCTACCTTTCTGGGTGCCTAACTCCGGTCGATGGCAGATAAGGAAAATTCCCAACCACAGGGATTTTCCAGGGCCAATGCTCCCTGTGCCTCTCTGAGGGGGGGCCAGGTTCTGGCTCGTGGTCCCTGGTAGGCTGAACTCCTTAGATTAATGCCCAGGTCTAATGATTCACATATTAGCCCGATAGCTCCAGGGAGCCAAAGGGGCTCCCCACAGAAAATCAACATTGAATGTAATGAAACTAATACTAGCTTCGTCAATTCTGTACCCCAAACCCTTTATCCTGCAAGTTTGGGTTAGGCTAGCCCAAAGCATCTGGCCTTCAACCTCTGAACAAATAAACAAAGACATTCTTGTAGGTACAAATTTATAGTACAAGAGAATGTTTGTCAATTCAAGATGATTTATCTTACCTTGCTGGCCACATCCTCGAGAAACGCTCTCAAATATGAGAGTGTTTTGCTCCCGCTCTTCATCTCCTCCTGGGTTGTTGACGCCGTACCTGATACATCATCCATTGTTTCGACACCCATGAGGTCGATGAAGAGCAATGAGCCTGAAATCAATGAAAAACAATATATATATAATGATAGGTAAAACAGAACATATGGATGTGTCAGCCTCTGTTAAGTTGAATAATAAATGAAAGCTCTGAAATACTTTGAAGGTGTAAATTACTTTCCAGAGTAAAATAAAGATCCAAGTTCGGCCACCTGTAGCCGAGCTTTACTTTGACAGATTTCGTTCATAATTGGCACCCTTGCAGATAGGCATCCATTGAGCAAGGTGTGCAAGTTTCATGCAAATCCCTTGATAACAAACTAGAAAAAAAAATTGGCCAAGAAAATTTTTTTTTTAAATATAAATATATTGAACATACATATTACAATTATTACAAGAGTTTGTGCTTCTACAGCACATAGTAGACATTTTAGTTGACACATGTGTTCCCTGAGATTATTTGAGAATGTTGAACATTCGTTGCAAAATACGTTTTGTATTTTTCTCCTTTTCTGTTTAGGGTGTGATGGTGAAACTTGGACCAGTTGCAGCCCTTTCTATAACCATTTCATAAATAAATTTATAAGCAAATTGAACAACTTAATTTATAACGTTTTAAGTTAATATGCCCCCTTAAGCCTGCTTAAGATCCTAAAATAATGTGGCGATTATAAGAATTAACCCCAGTGCTGCGCTGCTTTTATTGTGACAAATTGGTGGTGTGCCAAAAATGAAGTGTTCTTTATAAAAAAATTGGATATTTGTTAAAATCCCTTCCCTGAACATGTACATGTAAAAAGAAAAAAAGTGTTCAATGTAATGGAAACTCCATTTTCTTGGCGAGCCCCAGAGCCTTGTGAAGGTCAAAAAGAAAGCACACCTATCGGGAATAATCGAGGGGTCCGTCTAATTACCCAAAGCTCCCTGACATTATGCTAGTAATGAATAAATGATATATTTACTCATTATAATGTTGGTGCTGAATGTAGAACATGGAAAAACATGTTTACTCTGAAAAAAGTATTTCATAACAAAATTAGACGAAAATAAGCTGCTGGTGACGCCAAAGCAAGTCGATGGTCCAAGTGAAGATGTTTGTTTTGAGGCGCTCACCTTTCTGGGTGCCTGTCCTGATCGATGGCAGATATAGAATGCTCCAAAATCACATGTGCATATCTGTAGGCCATTGCACCTCGTGCCTCTCTGAGGGGAGGGCCAGGTTCTGGTCGTGGTCCACGGTAGGCCTAGAACTCCACCTACATCAACCGATACCACAGTTAGGAATATCCATATCAGCCTGGATAGCTCCGGGGAGAGCCAAAGGGGCTCCCCCCAGAAAATATAAAAAAAAGAATTCTTACCTTGGGCAATGGGAGTGAATGACTTCTCGACGTGACTTCTCAGTGTGTGACTTCTCGACGATTGTAGATTCTGTCTTGTAGACGCCTTTTTAATATTTTTTTTAAACGTCTCTATTTTTTTTAGGCAATCGTCCAAGCCAGTTATCTTAATTTCCTGAAAAATATTGACAGAAGTTCAGTTAACTAATGATAATAAAGTGCAAAAAACAGCATTTAATGTAATGAGATGTCTATTTCTGAGTGAGTCCAGGTGGTTCCCTGAAGCTATGTTGATATAGTGCCAAATTAATAGGTGCCATCAGTTGCAGAGTTCTTTTTGACTGATGGGGACGACGAGCCAGAACCTGGCCCTTCCAGAGAGGAGGCCAGGTTCCAAGGGGGTCAGAGGCACGTGGAGGGGGGGGGGTCTCTAATGGGTCAGTTTGCTGTTCCGATAAGATGTGTTGGAACCCTGAAAACAAATTAAAATAATTCTTTATCTAAAAAATATTTATTACATATATAGAAAGCAAAGTACTTTTCATACACCACTTATTCAGATATTAATTTTGGATTTAAATAAAGTTAATGATAAACTGCCCATCTAAAAAGTGTTAAATGTAATGAAATGTTATTTTCTGGGTGAGTCCAGGAGGCTCCCTTGAGTGACCAGGCTAATATGCAAATCATATGGGGGGGGGGGTAGGTGGTGTTAACTTGTTATTTTTGCAATCTTTTTGAGAACTCTTAATACATCTATAGCTCCAGGGAGCCAAAGGGGCTCCCCACAGAAAACCAACATTGAATGTAATGAAACTAATACCAGCGTTTGTCCATTCTGTACCCCAAACCCTTTAGCCTGCAAGTTTGGGTTAGGCTAGCCCAAAGAATCTGGCCTTCAACCTCTGAACAAATAAACAAATAGACATTCTTGTAGGTACAAATTTATAGTACAAGAGAATGTTTGTCAATTCAAGATGATTTATCTTGCCTTACTTGCCATATCTTCGAGAAACGCTCTCAAATATGAGTTTTGCTCCCGCTCTTCATCTCCTCTTGGGTTGTTGACGCCGTACCCGATACATTATCCATTGTTTCTACACCCATGAGGTCGATGAAGAGCAATGAGCCTGAAATAAATAAATAAAAAAAAATAAATAAATAAAAAAAAAAAAATAAATAAATAAAAAAAAAAAATAAATAAAAAAAAAAATAAATAAAAAAACAAACAAACAAACAAACAAACAAACAAACAATAAATAAACAATAAATAAACAATAAATAAACAATAAATAAACAATAAATAAACAATAAATAAATAAATAATAAATAAATAATAAATAAATAATAAATAAATAATAAATAAATAAATAAATAATAATATATATATATATATATATATATATATATATGTCGTACCTAGTAGCCAGAACGCACTTATCAGCCTACTATTCAAGGCCCGATTTGCCTAATAAGCCAAGTTTACCTGAATTAATATATTTTCTCTAATTTTTTTCTTATGAAATGATAAAGCTATCCATTTCATCATGTATGAGGTCAATTTTATTTTATTGGAGTTAAAATTAACGTAGATATATGACCGAACCTAACCAACCCTACCTAACCTAACCTAACCTATCTTTATAGGTTAGGTTAGGTTAGGTAGCAGAAAACGTTAGGTTAGGTTAGGTAGGTTAGGTAGTTGAAAAAACATTAATTCATAAAAACTTGGCTTATTAGGCAAATCGGGCCATGCATAGTAGGCTGAAAAGTGCGTTCTGGCTACTAGGTACGACATATATATATATATATATATATATATATGTGTGCTGTATATGTGTACGACATATATATATATATATATATATATATATATATGTCGTACCTAGTAGCCAGAACGCACTTTTCAGCCTACTATGCATGGCCCGATTTGCCTAATAAGCCAAGTTTTCATGAATTAATATATTTTCTCAAATTTTTTTCTAATGAAATGATAAAGCTACCCATTTCATCATGTACGAGGTCAATTTTTTTTTATTGGAGTTAAAATTAATGTAGATATTTGACTAAACCTAACCAACCCTACCTAACCTAACCTATCTTTATAGGTTAGGTTCGGTTAGGAAGCCGAAAAAGCTAGGTTAGGTTAGGTAGGTTAGGTAGTTGAAAAAACATTAATTCATAAAAACTTGGCTTATTAGGCAAATCGGGCCATGCATAGTAGGCTGAAAAGTGCGTTCTGGCTACTAGATACGACATATATATATATATATATATATATATATATATATATATATATATATATATATATATATATATATATATATATATATATATATATATATATATATATATATATATATATATGTCGTATCTAGTAGCCAGAACGCACTTTTCAGCCTACTATGCATGGCCCGATTTGCCTAATAAGCCAAGTTTTTATGAATTAATGTTTTTTCAACTACCTAACCTACCTAACCTAACCTAACCTAGCTTTTTCGGCTTCCTAACCGAACCTAACCTATAAAGATAGGTTAGGTTAGGTAGGGTTGGTTAGGTTTAGTCAAATATCTACATTAATTTTAACTCCAATAAAAAAAAATTGACCTCGTACATGATGAAATGGGTAGCTTTATCATTTCATTAGAAAAAAATTTGAGAAAATATATTAATTCATGAAAACTTGGCTTATTAGGCAAATCGGGCCATGCATAGTAGGCTGAGAAGTGCGTTCTGGCTATTAGGTACGACATATATATATATATATATATATATGTAACACGGGGGGGTTACCATTGTAACACGGGGGGGTTACCATTGTAACACGGGGGGGGTTACCATTGTAACACGGGGGGGTTACCATTGTAACACGGGGGGGGTTACCAATGTAACACGGGGGGGGGTTACCATTGTAACACGGGGGGGGGTTACCATTGTAACACGGGGGGGTTACCATTGTAACACGGGGGGGTTACCATTGTAACACGGGGGGGTTACCATTGTAACACGGGGGGGTTACCATTGTAACACGGGGGGGTTACCATTGTAACACGGGGGGGGTTACCATTGTAACACGGGGGGGTTACCATTGTAACACGGGGGGGTTACCATTGTAACACGGGGGGGTTACCATTGTAACACGGGGGGGGGTTACCATTGTAACACGGGGGGGGGGTTACCATTGTAACACGGGGGGGGGGGGTTACCATTGTAACACGGGGGGGTTACCATTGTAACACGGGGGGTTACCAATGTAACACGGGGGGTTACCAATGTAACACGGGGGGGGTTACCATTGTAACACGGGGGGGGTTACCATTGTAACACGGGGGGGTTACCATTGTAACACGGGGGGGGTTACCATTGTAACACGGGGGGGTTACCATTGTAACACGGGGGGGGTTACCATTGTAACACGGGGGGGGTTACCATTGTAACACGGGGGGGGTTACCATTGTAACACGGGGGGGGGGTTACCATTGTAACACGGGGGGGGGTTACCATTGTAACACGGGGGGGGGTTACCATTGTAACACGGGGGGGGGGGGGGTTACCATTGTAACACGGGGGGGTTACCATTGTAACACGGGGGGGTTACCATTGTAACACGGGGGGGTTACCAATGTAACACGGGGGGGTTACCAATGTAACACGGGGGGGGGGGGGGGGTTACCATTGTAACACGGGGGGGTTACCATTGTAACACGGGGGGGGTTACCATTGTAACCCGGGGGGGGGGGTTACCATTGTAACACGGGGGGGGGGTTACCATTGTAACACGGGGGGGGGTTACCATTGTAACACGGGGGGGGGGTGTTACCATTGTAACACGGGGGGGGGTGTTACCATTGTAACACGGGGGGGTGTTACCATTGTAACATGGGGGGGGGGGTCTTGTTCTCATCCTTCTCATCCTTCACCTCCTTTCTCTCTGCCCATATTTTAACTTTCTCTGTACCAAGGGACCTACGTCGGAGATCATTCCAGACGCTGCCTTTTTCTATTGTAATGAAGTAAGGGCAAAGAGGGAAAACGGCCTATTGACATAGCTCGAGTGCATGGGGGAGTTGTGTTAAACCCTGGTTTGTCTCTCGGAGAGGCTGCAGGATTCATTAAGTTCAGTAGAACTTCGGTTTCAACTCTTCAACTCGTCTTGATTGGACGAAGTCATTCATGTGGTCCCTGTGGGTGACTGCAGACAAATATTAACAGATTAATACATATTTTTATTTTATTTTTAAAATAAATTAAACAACAAATAAAAAAAATCAAAATAAAATTACAATTAAAAACTAACCTTCCTCTTTCTCCGAGACAATCTGATCGCCGTGCTGAAGTCTCAGCTTGTGTTGGGCGATGTAATTGCCTACTTTAGGACTTGGTGGAGTCCCATCCCGAAGAGTTTTCAATGTTATATTCTTCTTGATAAAGGTTTTTGACCTCAAGAGTTTAGACTCCACATAATCATTCATGTGGTCGTTGTGGGTATCTGCGGGCAAATATTAACAGATTAATACATATTTTTATTCTATTTTTAAAAAAAATTAAACAAATAATAAAAATCAATAAAATAAAAAACAAAAATAAAATAAAAAAATAACGATAAATAAAAACTGAATTAACCCTCAAATCGCTAGAGGTCCAAATGGAATTAACACCCACACGCACAAAAAAAAAAAAAAAATTCATCTGTTCCCTGAGCACGGGAAAAATAATAAAAAAATTTAATTACACTTACCGTGGACGTAAATGACCCGAGAAGATTGTCGATGACGTCACGCCTGATCTTCACTGGACCGCTGTTTGCTGTTCCGATATGATGTGCTGGAACCCTGAAAACAAATTAAAATAATTCTTTAGCTTAAAAATATTCATTACATATATAGACAGCTAAGTACTTTTCATACACCACTTGTTCAAATATTAATTTTGGATTTAAATAGTTAACGATAAACTGCCCATCCAAAAAGTGTTAAATGTAATGAAATTTTATTTTCTGGGCGAGTACAGGAGGCTCCCTTGAGTTACCAGTCTAATATGCGAATCATTAAACTGGGGCAATATAGTCTAAGGAGTTCAGCCTACCAGTGACTGAGCCAGAACCTGGCCCCCCTCAGAGGCACAGGGAGCAATGGTCCTGGAAAACACTATTTTAACATTTGTAGTGCTTTAACTCTTTGACAAAGCCTGGAAAGTAAGTAAGTAAGTAATTATCAAAAGAAGGCACCAAACCGGGAAGGCTATGTAGCACCATCAAATACGCAAAATAATCGGAGGGCGCTAAATATCACCAAGGATGCCAATACGAGAACAAAAACGCCTAAGGCGAACGATATCAAAAGTATCCGAGTCACCAAGAATTCTATCGAGGGACAGGTGACCGCGAGGGGCGGTCGGAAAGCAAGAGACACGCTCGTCCTGGAAGTCAGGACATTCAAGAAGGACATGCACGACCGTAAGAGGGACAATGCAACTAGGACAATAAGGAGCAGGGCGGCGCTCCATCAAGTGACCATGGGTTAAGCGAGTATGGCCAATACGCAACCTCGCCAGAGCTGTTTCCCACCGCCGGTTTCGGTGGAAGGAGGACGGCCACGAGGAAACAACATTTAAGAGTACGTAGCTTGTTACCAGTAACAGACAACCAAGAAGCCTGCCAACGGGTAAGGACTGAGGAATGGATAACCGGGTAAAAGTCGGAATACGGAATGCCTTTACGAGAGATGGGACAAGAGCGGACAGCTTCCTTAGCGGCAGCATCCGCACGCTCATTTAAAGACACACCAATATGGCTGGGAATCAGCAGTCTCCCTCTTTTCTGGCGAAGAATGGAATGGTGGCTTTCCGTAAGGGCTGTTGGGTTGTTGATGCTTGGTTGGTTTGGCCAGGGGGTGCACCACGTGTGTCCGGTTGCGGCTCTTCACCATTATTCGTGCACCATGGCCTCTGGCCGGGGATGTGCTAAGAGTTCTCTGTTTTCCTCCACTGTTTTGTGGGTTCGGGTCTCCCAGGTCATCCGCAGGGTTATTCATTCCAGCCAGCCTGCGGTCTATCCTCAAATCCATGACGTTCGCTAATTTGCTACTCTAGCTGCTGCTTTTTAGGCGATATGTCTTGAGTTGACATTTGGGCGCGAGGATTTTGGAGGTCGGACAGGGTCCTGGCCGCCCGTTACCTCGTTCATGTTCCTGGTCCTAGTCAGGCGTGTGTCGCTATGGGTCGCAGGTTGCAGCCAGTGGTCTCAACTTCGAGTTGGTGTGAATGGCGGCAGCCTCCCAGGTACGTCTCTTTTCCTTTTCTGTGGTTAGGTAGCTCCAGGGAGCCAGAGGAGCTATCCACAGGAAACCAGCATTGAATGTAATGAAACTCCATTTTCTGGGCGAATCCTGGAGGTTCTTCGGCAATCTTCCAGTCGGCGATATTCACGTTTTTTATATTCAACCTCTGAACTAGGGTGGCATGACCGACATGGGAGTCTGGGGCTCCCCTTTCCCCCTCTTGGGGAGGGGGGGGGGGAGCTGCACAAACAACGACAGTAATGATGTCATGCTTGTTTGCTCATTTTCAGATTGGGGAGTTCCGCTTGATAGTTTGGCTTTCGGTAGCAATTTTTAACCAGGTTTCTTTTGGGACGCCTACCTTTCTGGGTGCCTAACCCGGTCATTGGCACACATGGAATGCCTCTAACCACATGGGGGTTTCTATAGGCCATTGCTCCTCGTGCCTCTCTGAGGGGGCTCGGTTCTTGCTCGTGGTCCCTGGTACACAAGAACTTCAATGAAAATGGTCTAGAAACATATCAGTCCAGTAAGCTACGAGGAGCCTCCGGGACTTGCCCAGAAAATGGCATTTCATTACATTCAACGCTGGTTCATTTTGGCAATTTTCAGGCTGTGGTCTTTAGTTTTAACCATGCAGTCTTTTGGTTTGCCTCTTTCTGGGTTCCTTCCCCAGTTGGTGGCAAGTATAAATAACTTTACATTGAAGTGTTCAAAGGCCATCACTCCTTTTGCCTCTGAGACCTGGTTCTGGCTTGTAGCCCTCTGTAGACCAATAGAACTTTGCGACTAATGGCACCGAGTAATATGGCATTAATCAGTGTATGATAGTTTCAGGGAGCCTCTGGGGCTCATCCAGAAACTGGCATTTCATTACATTCAACACTTTTTTAATCTAGATTTTGCATAAGAAAATATTTCGGATTCATCTCTTTCACTAATGGCCTTTTGCTCTCTCCATAGGACCATCAAGGAAGAGATACACGCCCTCACACCTTCACCTTCAATAACAATTGAAGGGAAGGTGTGGGGTAAAGAAGAGATCTCTAGATCTTAGAGAACAAATATAAGAATAGAGAAAATGAAGCCGAGATCCAAGATCTCAAGAAAAAATTAAAAAATATGAGGTATGTAGTTAATAAACATATTGTAGTCTCTAGAGTGGAATATTGTTGCAAACTAACAGCCCTATTCAAAGCTTGCTGACTTGATCCATTATTTGTTGACCCGATCCATCCTCCTGCTTCCTTGACTCCATTGTCTCTGCATGCTTTGCCTATACCCCATAACCCCAATTCACTGATCAAAGATTAAGAACCCTTTTGCAGGAGACAGAAGAGGAAAACCAGAGGCTTATACATAGTCTAAAGGAAAGACTGAAGAAATGTGAGGTATGTAGTTATTAAACATATTGTAGTCTCTAGAGTGGAATATTGTTGCAAACAACCCTATTTAAAGCTGGAGTAATTGCTGACATGATTCATCCTCCTGCTCCCTTGACTCCATTGTCTTGCTTGCTTTGCCTATACCCCGTAACCCCAATTTCACTGATCCTGGTCTTACTTAGTCTACTGTGTTGTTCTTTGCCTTTGTTTCTCCCTTGTTATCTCTGCTTCTGTTCTCTATTTTTGTCTGTCTATTCTTCAATGAGATATTCGTGATTTTTATGCTAACTTTCATAAACTCTAACCTTTAACCCTTAAGTTGCACAACACATCATATGATGGGTTGAGTGACTTGCTATAAATTGTGCATCCCATCATATGATGTATTGGAGTACTACGCAAGATTTAAAGCGACCCGCAGATACACGGTGTTCACCACACCTTCATCAGGGCTCTTGTAAACAGACACTGTTTTTAAACAAAATCGTGGGCCAAATTCCCGGGTGTGAGGGGCCTCAGTATTGAGTGAGCCACCAAGCCTGACGCACGCAGCATGAGCTCACAGCACTGCTGTTCAGCTTGTGACCACAGCATCACCTAAAAATGCCATAATATACATGTTCATGCTATTATTTAGCATTATTATTATTACAGAAGACCCCTGACTGATAAAAATGACCAGGATTCTGATAACAGCAGGATTGTTGTGATAATTAGCGCTGTAGTGGGAGGAGTAATCTTGGTGGGGAGGGAGGTAGCATTGTCTGCTGACTCTGTGTGACCACCTTTTACTGTCTGGACTCACTATACCAGCTTAGTTGTTCACTATGGTAAACAAAACATGCAGATACTTATATATAACATCTGTATATAAAAGCAAAAACAGTATGGTGGGAGGAGAATGGTGGCGAGTGAGGTGAGGGAGGGAGTGGCAGCCAGTGGCAGGCTGCCACTGGCTGCCACTGCCACTCAGCATACCAACTTAGTGGTTCGTTATGGTGAACACGAATGTAGATACTTATATATAACGTGTATATATAGTGTAATAACAGCAAAAGGAGTGTGGGGGAAGAAGACATTTTGGTGATGGGTGTGGCAACATCTGCATGATTTGTCATGTTGGTAGGGGTGGCCACTATGCTCTTTGGGCATTATATCAGCTTAGTTGAACAGTTATGGTGAACAAAACATGTAGATACTTATATATAATGTCTGTATATAGGGTATTAACACCACAAACAGTATTGTTGGGGGTGAAATTTTAGTGCGTTTGACCTTGAATGTGTGAGGGAAGAAGCCGCCAGCTGACTGTGTGCACTCACCATACCACTAAGCTGGTATGGTGAGTGCATTCAATAAAAGGTGGCCACACACAGTCAGAAGATAATGCCACTACCCTCCCCTCCCACAGCATTACTCCTCCCTCCATGGCGCACAGCGCTAAATATCACCACAATCCTGCTATTATCAGAACCCTGGTCAGTTTTATCACAGTCAGGGGTCTTCTGTAATAATATCATCGCTACATAATAGCATGAACAAGAATATTATGGCATTTTTAGGCGATGCTGTGGTCACAAGCTGAACAGCAGTGCTGTGAGTTCAAGCTGCGTGCGTCAGGCTTGGTTGCTCACTCAATACTGAGGCCCCTAACACCCGGGAGTTTGGCCCACGATTTAAAAAAAAAATGGCGTCTGTTTAAAAGAGCCCTGATGAAGGTGTGGTGAACCCCGTGTATCCGCGGGCCGTTTAAATCTTGCGTAGTACTCCAAAGCATCACATGATGCGATGCGCAATTTACTGCAAGTCGGTCAAAGCATCATATGATGCGATGGGCAATTGAAGGGTTAAGGTGCTTGATAAATTATTGATGAATAATACCAGTACAGTATTAGTTGTCGAGTTTTAAGTCTCGTCCTTATCCAAAACGCTGGTCCTTGTGCTCAACGCCCAAAACGCTGTGCGTTCTAGTGGCTTTAGACATTACATTATATACCTGCTTTATATAGAAATCCAGCATTCTGTAACTCATTGTGTATGTATGTATTTTCCCTAAATAAAATTATCTTGTGTTATCTTGCTATATACTCAGACCTAGTAGATAAAGCACTCAGGAGAGTGCAGAAGACCTGATGTAAATTTTCACAAAATACACATTTATGGTTTTCATCCAAATTAATATGTATTTCAATT